CCCCCCCCCCCCCCCCCCCCCCCCCCCCCCCCCCCCCACGGGATTTACATTGATAGGTGCATTATGTACATAATCTTAGGAAAAAAGGCTACGCACGCCCGAAAATTAATACAGAGCGTTTTATGAACTCCTTTGTAAATAGGTTGATTTTTAAGTTCCATTTATTGTAATGAAATACTTTTTTAATATATATATATGTAGACATTTTAATCAAAGTTTTTTATCTTCCGTATTATTGTAACATAAGATATGTAGTTTTAACCTTTGATGAAATAAAGACTCATTATTATTATTATTATTATTATTATTATTATTATTATTATTATTATTAAAACAACGGCAAAGAAATATACAAAAAAAGCGTGCAAAGTTGCTTTTTGCTAATTAGACATGTTGTTTTTTTACCGTTCTCTGGCGTTGCCTTCGCCGCTTAGCATTACACCATTTTATATTTTGTTTGAACAAACTATAAATATTATCGAGAGCTTCGCTTTTAGCCCTGGCTAAATCTATATATTATTCAAGTAATTCAGCTTTGTCTTGGAAAAAGACAATATTTTCTTGATATCGACCAGCTGTCCGGCAGGGAACTGATAAATGCCCCTTCGGGGCACAGTCAACAAATTTTTATACGAGGAGGCTCCGCCCCAAGGTCAAACGCCTTAACCTTTCATTACCACATATACTATTACTGACACAAAAGGTACGCCTTTCGTATACCCTTCTACTGACAAATGGTACCCCTTTCACATACCTAGTTAAGGACGCAGCATTGCCCCTGTCCTTAATTGTGAAAAAATAACGAAGCCGGGGAGTTTTCTTGAGTTCTTCACAGCCAAAACATGTATCTCGGTTAGCCCTTTTGGGTCCTTTTAGCAGCTCAGCCGAAATGACAGATTTCCCTTTTCGTTTATACACTTCGACTAGCCGGGTGAAATTCCTACCCTTTTATATACCTGAAGCTTGAAAAAGGTACCCCGTTCGAGCGGAACCCCCTATTAAGGTCACTACAGGGAGTAACCCCCGGGGATAAATCACAAGGAATGGTTTCCAAAATTTAGATATGAGGATTAAGTAGAAACACCATGGCAAGGTTAACCTCCAGTGCGCATCTGTAGCCCTAGGTGATGAGAGAGAAAGGTGTAGCAAATTTTCTTGTCTAATGCCGTGACAACCAGGTGTGAGAAGGCTCGAACCCCACTGGACGAACCGATAATTAGTTCGAGGTGTTGACCTCTCCGACAGCGAATTTGCACTAGTAAGATGAAAGCAAGCCGCTTTTTCGATCTTTTCCCATAGTTTGGTAAAACGACACACATCATTAAATAAATCACAAATGGTAATCAACTATTAACACCCTGACCGCTGGAAAGGCAAACTCGTATCCAACGTGATACCAGAGGGAATTTAAATTTCCGATTGGGTTTCTTTCCATTACAGCGTTTTATTAGACCTGGCAGTTAATGTGCTGCTGTAGACCTGTGACGTCATCCAAAATGGCGGCCAACATGGGTGACCATGATCTCCACGGATTCAGATTTACCGAAACATATAATTTTTTTTTTCGGTTAGATTTTTAGAAAATACAATCTTATTTTTCCACTCTTCTAATTTAATGCTTGCCAAAGAAAAGCCTGCTCGGGGACACATGTTCAGGATTGAACTCTACTACGAAATTTACAAAATTTACGACTTTTCGCGATAGCCTTGCCAAAACTGCAGAATTTGCAAACCTAACGGTTTTCTGCGATGAACTTGCGCAAACTACAAAATTAAAAAATTAACGATTTTTCGCCATGAGCTTACGAGAAACGGCGCTGGATTTTACAATTTTAACGGCAATTGCAAAATTTACAAATTTCACGATGTTGCATCAGTCTTCTGCTATTTTCACAACTTGCTTACCTTTGTTATGTAAATAGCAACAAATCCTCAAAGTGGCGCCGCCGATCTTACAATTTTAACGGAAGTTGCAAAATTACAAATCTCACTTTTTTTTCGCGATTTGGTCAAAACTGTTCTCCCTTTGTTATAAGGCAGTTGTTTGTTTTACATAGGTTAATATTTCTTTACTGACAATCCCCAGTAATACATCTACGGTTATATTGGTTCCATGCATAATCCATGATCAACTCTAAGTGAGGAGGCGAATATTCCATCATTTTCTTATGGGAATCACACCCTTCCCGCGGCTCCCAACAGATCTTCTTTGAACCGTATACCCACAGGGTACATGCGTTGTTGTGATTTGTTTTTGTAAATGGAACGTAAGCAGCGTATTCACTGCATAATACCAAGAGACTAGTAAGAACGCTTGAAATTCGTTTTAAACTTTTGTGGGCAAATTTTGCTTCTTTACCATGTTATCTGCATAAGCAATTGTTTAGCTTTTTCTTTTACAACTTTTGGGAGTTACAGGGTGACTGCATGGGGATGCTGGAATCACCGTTGGCTTTTCCCAGCCGTATCAATAGTTCTTTGATCTTAAGTCTCAGTTCTTAATTAAAAATCCCTCTCACTTCTCAGGCGACAGTAAAAATTTTGACAAATTCGCAATGTATCAGTGTATGTCCTCCACTGGGCCTCTTCCAAAAACTCTTTTTCACTAGATCTGATCGTAGAACATAATTATAATTAGTCTCTTTTTTTACTCATGCAAAAGGATACGTTTGTTATAAAATTTGACAACTTACATTCGTGCTACTATACTATTATTATACATGAAATGAATAAGAATTTGACACCATATAATTCTTGCTTAGGGCTCGTTATTTGAGTCCAGTAATTTAGCAGGTAGAAACCTCTTGAGCGATTCTCAGTGGCTTACAAAAGGGAGTTTGGTCTCGTCTGGTACTTGATACTAGGCCAATTCGCCTTAAACAAAAGAATACAGTTAATCTTGGGTATGGCCTAGGACGCCTAACAACGTCTGCGCACGAAGCTCACTTAGCAGCATTTCAGCATCTTACGAAAGGCGTTTCTAAATTCCTCATTTTTCCATCCGTAGATGAGAGGGTTGCATATGGCATTCACAAACATGGCCACGTCGTAAAAGATTTGCTTCAGTAGCTTTCGATCGCAGCAGTCTTCGAGTAATTCGCGGAAGAAGACTTGGAGGAAAGTCACAGCCAGCATAGGGATGACACTGAGTAGACACAGCGCTACAACAATAGCCACAGTGCGGGCACCTTTCATGTGATACTTGACAGTGGGCATTCCTGGAATGTCACAGCCTTGTTCTCTGACAAGTTGTCTCTGCTTGTAAGACACTATGAAGATGTAGGTGTACGAGCATAAAATGATCAACAGGGGGACAAGAAACATTGACACAGCTTGGAAAGATTTGATGTACACTCTGCAATCTTTGCCTAGTTCTTCGCCTGTTGCTCTCTGAAGCACCTTTGGGACAGCCACAATAACGACCAGAGCCCATAGCCACATCACGATGGAAACAATTCGTGCTCGACGTTTGGTCACTATGGCCTGGTATCTTAAAGCGAACTTGATGGCGATGAAACGTTCTGAACTCATTAAGCTGAGATGAAGAACAATGACCGAAAGGAGGAACAAGGTGATAGTTCCGCCTACTGGTTTAAGAATACATGGAGGATTCCCACAAGTACATTTAAGGGATAACTGAATGATATCAAGAATCAAGGGAATCGCTAGTAAGCCGTCGGCGATAGACAAACTCACCAGAATGTTGTTGGAGGCAGTTCGCAGGTTCCGAAATTTGTGAAACGCTCTAAGCACGAAATAACTCCCGAGCAAAGCAATGATTGTGATAATCCCATGAACGTTCAACAATAGAATAAATTTCCACTTCGGTAAGGGATCGCCAGTCGTGCAATTCTTCCGTGTTTGCTTCATTGCGGGAGGAAAATTGTGCCACCTATGTTGTCTATACAGTTCGGAACACTTACTCCTACCACTGTTGTTCCGTTTCGTATCATAGTCAAACTATATAAATATTCAGTGGTCAGCCATGGCCAGGTGAAATCAACTGTGTATATGATAGCTATAACAACTATTGATGATGTTCCTTTTGTTTTAATAGCGTCAAAACAAAATACGACGCATCTGGAATAAAGGTAAAATTTAACCATTTCTGTTAACCAAGATCCAATAAACGCGATTGTCCATAAAATATGCAGGTTTATGTAAGGTAACTGCCTTAATTACCGCCTTCTAAAACGTCAAACTCTACATTTCCTGTCAAATTCATTGAGAATCCATTAAGAAAGTAAACAGCATGTTAAAATTGCATAGTATAAAGTTAAGGAAATAAAACTAGTTATCAAGCAGTATTTTTTATACTGACTGCGTTGAGTGGTGAAATGAATAAGTACAAAGTCAAACAATTCATAAAAAAGAACCTTATATTTGGCCTAGAAAGAAAAACGAAAAAAGGACTGTGGCACTATTAATAACAAGTAGTTGTACAGCGGGCTTTGAAAGTCTCATAAACTAGTAAGGGCGTCTTATCGAGTTTAAAATACAAGGAACAGCCGAACATGTACGACGTGCGAGCTTATTAACAGATCTGAAAACCTCTCCTAAATACCCCTTTGAATAAATGTTATTATTATTATTATTATTATTATTATTATTATTATTATTATTATTATTATTATTATTATTATTATTATTATTATTATTATTATTACTATTATTGTCTCTATTATCACAGTCTTTGCTGGTGTTCTTTTTGCGCATCAGCCGGGCGCAAACCATGCACCTAAAGCGTCAGTCACTCTAAGTCAATCATTCTGTTCATACACTGAGCACCTTTCTAAGGATTCGTGCAGATCCCAGCATGCAGATCTTTTGAATCTCTGTCATAGTAGCTCTCTCTGATACTTTCTTGATGTTTTCTACAATACCCTTCTTCACTGTACCAAGTGCACCAACAACCACGGGGATCACTACGGTTTTCATATGCCACAATCTCTGTACTTCTAGTTCTAGGTCTTTGTACTTGCATTTTTTTTCAGTTTCCTTCAGTGCGATGTTTCTATCTGATGGAACAGTCATATCAATCAGTTTGCAGGTGGAATTCACTGAATCTTTAACGATGATATCTGGTTTGTTCGCTGTTATAGTTCTATCAGTATTGACTGGCATGTCCCACATGATGGTGATGTTGTTATCTTTATTGTGTATCACGGTCTCTGGTTCGTGTTCGTACCATTTGTCTGCAATCTCTATATCATGATCTTTACATATGCTCCAATGGAGATATGCTGCAGCATTATTGTGCCTGGAGATGTACTCTGTTTTGGCTAATACCTCACATCCAGATACAATATGGTCCACTGTCTCTTCATGTTGCGAACACAATCTGCATTTGCTCTCCACTTGCTGGCCACATATTATTTTCTGGTAGTTTCTGGTGTTTATTGCCTGGTCTTGAGCTGCAACAAGTAGTCCCTCTGTTTCTCCTTTCAAATTACTTGACAACCATTTGTTGGTAGTGACTGTGTCTACATGAGGTTTCTCTAGGATCTTTGGATACTGGCCATGCAATGCTTTGTTTTTCCACTTTTCTTCTTTCATTGACTTCATCCTGGACTTAAACACGTGTTTCAGGGCTTTAGCATTTTCAGAGGCAGATTTATCTACTCTGTTCTCAATCTCTGGCATTGTTACTTCCCTTTTGAATTTAGTAGCATTCTTGGATATTGAATTTTTGGCTTTAGATCTTTCATGTTCAAGCACCTGCTTTGGATATTGCCCTTCCTTGTGCTTCAGATAGTGATCAAGCCCTATTGTTGCAGTTTTGAATGCTGTTTCTACATCAATCAGGCCCCTACCTCCATCTTTTCTTGGGATGTACAGCCTTTCCACATCTGCTTTAGGATGTAACATCTTGTGCATGTTCAATAGTTTGCGTGTTTTTGTGTCAATCTTCTTCAGTTCTGAGATTTTCCAGTCAATGATGCCAAAGCTATATTGCACAACTGGGACTGCAAGACTATTGATACCTTCTTTATTATTATTATTATTATTATTATTATTATTATTATTATTATTATTATTATTATTATTATTATTATTATTATTATTATTATTATTATTATTATTTAAGAGAATATCAAGTTAGCTTATTAATATCAACATCAGAACCGGCTTCACACGTAAGAAATGCATGGGTCCTGTTTCTTTGCGACTGTAGGTAACTTTCGGCTTAAAATAGATTTCAAATTCTATACACTGAATGGATAAGAGGATTAAAGTGAAGGCGCCATTGTCAGCTAAACAGAAATTGTTTTTATTCAGGGAAGTAGACACACTGGCTCGACACCTTCGTTTTTGAGCCATTAATCAAGCGACTAGCAAACGTCAGTTTTCATTTCTAACTTTATGATGCTGTGTTATTAAAAATTAATTGAAACGGGTAAACCACTATGTAGGAAAATAATGAATTCGGAAGGAGAAATAAATTGAATTCATACTTGCTGGCGACATTTATAACAAATTAAACTTATTAAAGAGAGGAAGAAGTTTGGAGCGGAATAGATACAATAAAGAACGCCGATATTTCTACAGGTGTTCATGTAAAGAAAAGAGGCGACCAAACAGGAAAAATTGGCAAACACCCAATTATGGTTGCAAAACTTAGTTTGCCACTTTTCTTTTTTGAATTTCAGAACGCACGGGCAGTTCCTTTAATAACGATATTTTACATACAAAAATAGGACTCTAACAACACTCAGCGGCGATCTGTTTGAAGCGTAAAAGAAGGTGCTTAACCTTTTTATTAGTATATCATTCTGCTTAACTGGAAAAGTGTTTATTTCCGGTTTGAGGAATTAGGAGACCGCATACTATTAAAGTCGTTTTCTTTTCGCGCGGGATTCGGGTAGGTATCGTTCTGGATGCCATATGATTTCACGGGTTGGACGAAAACAGTCTTGAACTGGCTAGCTGGCTCATTTGACCTCGATCTCATGTGATAGTTTTTCTCGGCCGAGAACTGGTATCTATTTTGTGCCTCGCTCGTTTACCGCAGATAATTTTTGTTTTACTGTATCCTGGCGAGGTGTATCAATACCGTTTTTTCCTTACGGTTTTTGGTATTCGTTTTCATTTAAGTTTTTTTTCTAGGAAAGGCAAGATAATCCGATAATTAGATTTTGTGTTAACAATGTGTTCGGCACACTGTATTTGCTGATATGGATAAGAGCTACATCAACTTAGATCGACCATCACTTCTTTTGTAAATAACATCACTTCTTTTTGAAAAACTGCTCGCAGTCTTAAGTTCTTGGAAATTTTTTGTAGTTTGTCTTTACCTTACTTACACATTGTACTGAATAGAACGCTCATTATCACTCCCCAAAAGCTTCCTTAACCTTGAAGTTTAGTTTATAAAAACCGGGATGAATTTCAGCGGGATTTTCGAGTAACAGCATTTTATTTTAGACCCGGGGATAAACTTAAGTCAACTTTTGCTGGGCATGTGCCGCTTGCTTCTCAGAACCTCTAGTCCATTATAGTTTATTTTGTGGCAAACTATGGACTCATCTTAGTCACTTTTGGATAAATTGGATAAATGTAAATTTCGTATGGATATAATGAAAGCTGATCATGCATGTGTTAACTGTTAAAAAAAAAAGGCATTAAATATGCCGCAGCAGTATTTTTTTCTTCCCAAAATACCTAATGCCAGAACTTGCTCCTAAAGTCTGGAAAATGTTCGACCCCATTCGAGTAGTTTTTTTTCTGGTGGCAAATTCTCCATTTAAAACACCAGGCTCTTTAATCCCAATCCGCTTCCAACGGCGCACAACTTCGCGTTTTAAGAGCACTTCAGCAGTTTGCGAAAAGCGGTTCTGAATTTTTCATTTCTCCATCCGTAGACAAGAGGATTACAGATGGTGTTTAAGCCTGTTGCTAAGTCAAAAACAATAAACTTAATTAACTTTCTCTTTGGGTCGCAACGTTCGGGAAGTTCGCCGAAAAAGCGAAGGCCTGTCACGATTATCAGAGGGACGATACTGAGAAGGCAGACGGCTACAACAATAGCAAGAGTAACCTTATGCTTTGTTATGTTTAGTTGGTTGACGTTTTGTTCACAATTGTCTTTGTTTTTTGTTGTTTACGATAATTACTTATTCTGCTCTTACTGTTCTGAGGTTAAAGTTGCCTTTACATATTAAAGAACAAAAAAATCGCGAAATTAAATACTCGCGAAATTAAGTGAGAATAAAGTAGGTAAACGTGACAGGGACGTTAATCGAGCTTGAAGTCTTTGTAGCAAAAACTTATTTATTTTGCTCTAAAAGCACAATGTCAAAATCCTTGCGCTTTGAAATACCTGTTGCCAAGGCTATTGCACTTTGCAATAAAACGGAAGTAACGGAGAACTTAGACTTTAGACTCGCCTTGGATGCATGGCTGTGGTGGGCGCATTTTTTAAGTCGGAGAGGCCGGCATGTCAATGCAAGGAGACTAAACATGGCTAATAACATTTCGGCCGTTTTTTTTTTTTTTTTTTTTACTTCTGTCTTTAAAATTGACTGATGAAGACTACCAGTAGTCTCTTATTTATCCATTAGAGTTACTAAGTTAGTGGGGTGGCACACCTCACAAGCGAGAAGCGTGCGTGACAAGTTTCTTTCGCCTGTTTTTCTCCAAGAATCAAGAAAAAAAGGGTTTTTTCGTAATGTAAATTGACATCACTCTATCGCTGTTTTCTGTCCTTCTTTTTAGGCACTGCCATTTTTTCTGGATCTACAGAACAGTATAATATCAATTCCTTTGCACCTGAAACGAACAGTTATCGGCAGATAGAACCAAACAAAGTCTACAAGGTTGAGAGCCTTGTTCACTGTGCGCGCATTTCACGGAAACCACCAAAAAGGTTCAGGAATTTTAAAGCTTACACCAAGAACTAAGACAAAAGGTCGATCACTCCTTAACTGTATTTTCACCTTCACATAAATCAAAGCCACTGGTCGCACCGCACATCTTTTACCATTGCAATTAAACGATGTCTTTGGTTAATTAAGTGGGAACTTATGAAAAAAAACGCGGGGTTGATTCTTTTCTTAAATGTTGCTAAGCTTTTCACTAAGGACATCTAAAAAACGTATATAGGGCAACTGATGAACGTTCAATAACTCGCAAACTTGTTGGGCACCCAACGTTCCCAACAACGTCCCACGCAAAAAAAGATCCGAAGTCGGATGAACGGGGAGAATGAGTAGACGTTTTAACTTCGTTTACATATCTTTATTTAACCAGTTAAAAGTAAAAAACGCTGGTCTAGAGCCGTGTTAAATTTGAACAATATTTATGTACTGGTAAAATGCTACTCACAAAAACCTAAGCCTACAATAATTGTAAAGAAATTATAACTACAACAAATTACTGATGAATGATTTTTACCTTATTTGAAGAAAGGTCATTATAACTACTAGGGCAGTGGCGGATCCAGGGGAGGGGCCCGGGGGGGCCACCCAAGTCGTATTTTTGCCCCAAACTGAGGCTCGAAAGGCCGAAAAAAAAACGCCCCCCCCCCCCTTACCCGAAGAGCTTTTTCCCCGCTGAGCATGTTACATTTCGCGAACTCTCACAACTTAAGTCTGGAAATACTCAGATTAGATTATTGGCAAATTTCTAAGATTAGAGGGGCGAACATTAAATGTATAAGTAAAACACATAGAATTTGAAATAACCATTGATTAGGTTTTACACTAAAGATTTCTTTTTTACCCATCATATGGATTGATTGATTTATTGATGCCTTTTCTATTTCTTATTGCTATTTAACACACAGTCCAGAACAAAAACGTCATAAAACGCGACACTTGCTTTGCAAGGTCCCAGAAACTATAATGCACTTGCAAAGGGATTCAGAGCATTTCCAGAATATACTGCTGAGTATTAAGAAGACAAAGTTGACCGGCAAGGTACCCAAAATGATTAAAAATATTTTTAATATAACAGATATCGGAAATCTACTCAATGACTTCCCAACAATGATTTCCCAACATAACCCGAAGTTGTTCCGAAGTTTCCAAAGTTTTTTGAACATTTGTAAAGTTTTATCAAGCGCGTATGTTTTGATTAAGATTAAGGAGTTATAATAGTAAGGATGTTTTCAACTTTTTGGAGCTGTCACCATCCAGGTTGTCTAAAATAATGAATTCTAAAATAGTGTGTTAAGGTGTTGTTATGCCAGACAAGGGCTTTCCAGATTGGTCTCCTCCATCTTTATGGTCAATACTCGTATGATCCCACATGTTGCGCTAAGGCTGATATACCAAATGGGAGCTAACCAGATTAGCCCAAGAAGGTCATTTAAATCCTGCTAAAATACTACACCAGATGAAAAGTATCTAGATTGGCCCCTCCTGAATTTACCTCTTCTTCTGATGGTCCGCAATACTTTTGGCCCCAAAACAGTGTGCGAAGGTGTTATACCAAATAGGGGCTATCCAGATTGGCCCCTCCAGAAGACATCTCTCCATCGTCATGGTCAATACTCATGGTCCAAAAAAGTGTGCTAATGTGTTATCCAAACAGGGCTAACCAGAGTGGCCCTTTCAGAATATACCCCTCAATCGTCATAGTCAACAAGCATTGTCCAAATTAGTGCGCTAAGGTGTTATACCAAATAGGGGCTATCCAGATTGGCCCTTCCGGAACATACCCCTCCATCGTTATGGTCAATACTCTTGGTCCTCATCAGATGCCCTACCTCTCTGTTCACCAGTATTTCATCTCCTCGACTAACAACAACAACAACCAATCATTAGAGTGAAGGAATATCTCCGTACCCCTATTTTAAATTAGCAACAATTTACTTTTTGACTTGGCACGCAAGCTGAGAAAATGATTGATTCATGTTCGATTGCTCGCTTCGAATTTTTTCAATCACAACCACTTACGTTTTATTAGAATCACTTGTGTACATTACCCATTGCAAGTGGTAATTTGCAGAAGTTGAAAGCCAGTCGAGTATCGTTAAGAAAACAAAGATTACCATGCAAAGTTGATGGAAACACGGCAGACGACAGTCAGAATGGTGTGTGAAAACTCCATTCGAGGAAAGAATAAGTGTTGTCACCTGGTTAGCCAACTTACCAGGCTGATAAGGGACTTGAGAGGAAACAAGAAAGAAGACAACAATAGGCTCCCCAGAGGCCACTTTGGGTAACTGTGATATTCTTAAGACAATCATTAAGGATGAAGTGACGTGACAGGGCAGATTTTTTTAAGCAATCCTTGTGGTGACCAAGATAACATTTTGTCGCGTTTTCCAGTTTCCAGTCAAAAACACGTTCCAACTCCCTCAAATACCCATTTGTTCACCTAAAAAACAGCTTCCCTCACCCCGATGCGTGAAACAGAAACACGCGTTTTACGTTTAGGGTTAAGTTGAGAACCACAGGTTATTTTCGTATCGTGTTTAGCAATTCCTCGCAATATTGTCTAGTTTGTTCAATTCCTAAGCTAATTCCATTAAAAAGTGCACCAATCAACACTCAGCGGAGCAAGTCTCCGGGAAATGTACTCGACCATTATTTTCCATGGGACACAACAACTGACAACATGAAGTATTTAACGAGTTGTCAAGTTGCATAGTTAATACTCCTCAAATAAAATGTTATTTTTACTTCACTGGTGCGTTTAATAACGTAAATTAATAGTATTCGATTACATACCTGATGAGAATTCCAAAAAATCCAAGTTCGCTGATAACATCTGCCAAGACCGGTTTAGGCAGTTCGGCGCGCACTATGTAATTCTTTGTCACCGGAGGCTGAATTTTGTCCATTAAAATGTATTTTGATCGTTCCTTCACGTTCGTAGTATTTTTGAGAGTCTTCACGATGTCTTCACCGAATATGTTATGTCCTGTTGGGGAGAAAAGACAAAGCTTGGTAACAATTGACTAACATGCCTGTCCAATGGTACCAGTCGTACCACTGGTACCAATGGACTGCCGTAACCAGCCAGACGAAAAAGGAAATATCCTAAGCTTTCTTACTGAAAAGCATTCACCAGTCAGTACCAATCGACTAACAGCCCTGACCATCAATGCCATTCCTTCCTTTGGTACACAGGGCCCCCCTTATACCCGGGCAGGCAACATGGGAATAGTCCTTAGCTTCATTAACGAGATTATGTCACCAATCAGTACCAAAGGACTGGCATCCCAGTCCAATTGTGCCAATCGTACCAGTGCTACAAAGCACCGCACTGTTCTTATTGGTACCCACTGATATTATTGGTACCAATCGTCAGACTTGTTACTCCTTCTCATTCCAATGGACTCTATTCGTATCAATTGGACTATCCCCAATCTTTCGCTTACCTGGGTGAGGGACATATTTTTAGGTCGCAATGGACGGACCTCTTTCAACTCATTCCTGCAGTGAGCAATACTTTTGGGCAGTAGCTTAACTATTTAAAGGACAGGTATACTCGTGGAAAAAAATGAAAAAAAGGAGACCAATCTGGGCGTGGACTAGGCCTTTGTGATGCCTACCCCTCCCCTAACCCAACATTTTGCCCCAAGTGAGACACAAACGTAAACGTTGCGTTAGGGGAGGGGTAGGTGGGCAGATTCCCAGAAACCTAAATTGATGCTAAAAATTTACTACAAAAGAACGTGAACCAAAGAAGAACTGCACTGTTTAGTTCTTTTAATTGCCCTTAGTGCGTTGGTATCGCTTGCAGCCTTCAATTCAAGACATTTTTACAGCCCTTGATTTGTTTTACAAAGATTATATTTGTTTAAATTGTAGATTTCATATCAAAGATTTTATATACGTAAGCGATACCTGTGTGGGTTAGAAAAATTATGGGATGTCCGTCCCGAAGTATTATTGGACTAAGCCCCTGGGATCCTCAAGAGCGAAAAGAGTTTCGAAACTGGTATGTCAGGTCAGCCCCAAACTCTTTGAGAAAAAAATCTACCTTGATGGGAATGACGCTTCTAGTTTAGAAAGGCCTTTAATTGGAGCTCTTAGTGTAACTGATAATCTTAAAAACAGTTCAAGGAAGGTGACGACATATTTTCGCTGTGGTACTGACTCCTGAGCAAAGTAAGAAATGTTAACTGTTTATTTCCTTTTATTTTCTCGGGTATTGACAGTGGAACGGAGTAAAACGTAAAGACTGCAATTTTTACCTCTTTTTTTCCTTCTCTTCCCTTCCCCCTGGCCCAATGTAGTATAAAACGTGAGTGTTTGCGGTTAACTTGTTCTATCATATCTTAATATTGAATAGGGGGCGAAGGGTATGCAGGAAATGACCATCAGCTGCAAAGAAAATAACCCCACAGAGGTAAGTTGTGCTAGCTGAATAAAAACTTTCAAATTCTTTTAAAGTGCTTTTAAATACCTCCTCCTTCTAGTTGTGGTTTCAAGACGAATGTGCCTGGATCTGCTATGGCCATCTCCACTGTTTTGTCTCCCTCTGGTCCCTGGAAAAGTAACAAACAAACGAACTTAAAGTCCAGCGAAAAAACGGAAAGATGCCTCTATATCGACAGCAGTTCGACTTTATTGCTAGTAGCTTTTGTCCTTTAACTATTTCAGGTATTTAAGGAACAGCTACAGCAAACGGAGCTCCTTTAAGGAAACTAACCAAGTGGACTACAGAAAATGAACAAACTATTCCAAGGTATTTACGCCAGTTTGATTTCTAAAAGCAGCTCTTCGGTTCAAACAGCTTGGATAAGTGGCCCGAGCCTGTTGATTAAGTCGCAATGTAAATGGAAAAATTGCCATACCAGGATTTACTAGCTTGTTACGGGAAAAAAAAAAACAATTTCAGGTCCTAGACCATATCGATGTCAATTCCTCATTTACCATTTTCACAGTGCCCATAATGGTATGGGCATTGTCTTCAATTCAAGTTCTTAGAACGACTATGAAGTAATATATCAAGCATGAGACGGATTGTTTCATCACCAAATGAAACACCGAGAAGAGAGTGTAAAATACGACGCGCAGCGGGGTATTTTTGACGACCTTCGAGGTGATTCATCTGGTGATGAAACAATGTGTCGAATGCTTCATATTACATCTCACACAAAATCATCGTAGAAGGAGAAATTAAGGTTTCAAAAATGACCACTTTTTCATCTGATTTCCAAACACTCATTAAACATTAATATCCCTTGTATTTTCTTTATGCATTATTAATAAGTTTGAGAATAAATTGGAAACAATAGTCATGCAAAATTTTGGAGGGTACACAAGGTATATTAAAGGCAATGAACAAATGGTCAATGGGCCAGATCTTCCGAAATACAAAAGGTCTAGCTGACCAGGTATAAATCAACGGGCATACGGAGATTAGAGTTTAAAAACTATTCTGACCTCGTCAAGTGTGTAAAGTCCAGTGAATGTGCTTCGTATCCTCTTGAGGACTTCCTCATCTGAAATAAACCTGTTGCAATGAAATAAGAAAAAAGCACACAAATTTGAACGGCTCTGCACTGCTGGCCATGAGGCTCATCATGAAGCCTTTGCTTTGCTTTCTACAAAATTAAACAAAAACTTGTGCAAGTTCTTGAGAAACTTTGACATGAATAATAACTTAGCTGGAACTTTGGCGTGACGAAAAACTGGAAGATTTCAAGTGAGATGTTTTTTCAGTTTTAACCCGACGTAAGGAAACAAAGTCAATATTTTCGCAGCGTTAAACAAAACTAAGAAGTACAACATAGGTCATAAAAGTAATTTTCATTTTCAACATTTGGACAACTTCGTCAGACATTTTAAGCCATGGGATAAAACCGATACGAAAAAATACATAAAGCCATCGGCCAATGGTGTCGGCAGATATGGCTAAAGGTCTTCAGAAAAAAAAGGACTAATCAGGACAAATGGGACCACTGTAATTGGCTTACCGCTTACTTTTGTGGTATCCCTGCCTAATTAAGCGTGTATTATTCTTTCTTTCAGTATATATTCATTCCCTTTTTTTTTTCTTTTTCTTTCTGTATCATGTGATAGGCGAAGCTAATAACAAAAAAAATAAAACAAATGATGGCATTGAGTCTTTAAGTACCTTTCCAGGACTCCAGGCGAAGCCAGCACTTGTTGAACTTTCTTTGTACCAGCAAGGTGAAGAGCTGCAGAAGGACACTTAATCGCTCGGGATCTTTCCATCATAAGACGAGCATTCCAATCCTGTGTTGAGTAAAATTCAAAGAATCAACATTGGGATGCTCATAATGCATAAAACCATGTACAAAAAGAAAGAAAAACTGTTTACTGAACCATGTAATTCATTAGTCAGTCCATTACGTCGCGACACTTCTTCCATGCTGTTCAAGTTGCTGAGTTTTATTGGTGAAGTGGAGAAAAGAATGGCACAGTGATCCTGAATAAATAGAGGTGTACCACAGGTATCTATTATACAAATCGAGTTAGGTTGTCACGTTAAGTATTTTCCTGCCGACCAGTTGACGGCTTTTCATTGGATCACGGGCTTCAGTTTACAAACTTTTTTGCGCTTTTCCTTTAAGTAAAAAAAGAAAAGTACCAATCATCACTCTTGGAAGGAAATGAAAGTCTACTATCAATTACTGCGATGGTAGTATGAAAGGAATTTCTTCAGGATAATTACATTTTGTTGCTGTTGTTGTTTCAAAGAAAACGTTTGGATTTTACCGCAGCTCTGATTTAAGGCTTGGTTTAAGGTGAGTAGATCGTAATCTAAGATGCATTTCCCCCTTCAACATACATTTTCTGAGGAATATTGATGTGGATCATAGCCATTCCTGAAGTACACAACAGCAATTTCATATCCGTCCCTGAAAAAAGCAAGAAATGGTTACCGTCTACAAATGAAATCGCATGTGATAGAACACATTTCAGAACTGTCCAGGGTTAGCACAAAATTTGAATTCAGATATGAAAGCTTAAAAAGTAAATTCCATATAATTCTTTTTGTCAACAAGTTGATGATTAGATGCTCTTAAAAATGAAAGAAAAAATTTTCGAAAAAATGCTTAAGCGCTAATCGGCATTCGAACAACTGGGCCTAGAGTTAAACTTAAAGGAAAAGCACCCAGTCATTTTTAAGAATTTGTTAGAACTTTGGCATGTTAGTTTTCCAAACAGCTTTACGTTTTTAACGAGTATTTTGCCTTCCCTCTTTTATTTCCATTGTTTCCTGATAAGAAGAGCGCTAACCAAAGCGATCAACCAAAGACTGAATAAGCACAATAATATTCATCAGCTTTTCTGGACACAGGTCAGCCCAGAGGGAATGTGCACGAACGGGACTCAGGTCCCATGCGAGTTGTACGTTCAAACGGGTTTAAATAAAAAATAATAATAATATTTAAAGCTTCTAACCCTTTAAGACCTAATATCCACTTACAAATTCTCCAGACTGATCTCTATACATTTCCTTAAAGAATTAGTTGAGAGAATTTGATAACAGGTCAAAAATTTTTCCCTTTGTGATCATTTTATTAATTCTCATAGACTTTGCTTTTGACAATCTATGGATATCGCTGGGAGAAAATTGATGTTGGTCACTATTGGGACTTAAAGGTTAAGTGTAACTGAAATAGGTATGTGTATAATGTGGCATAAGCAGAAATGCTCTGAAACGAAACCCGACACCCGACACCCGAACCCACCACACTTCAATAACTAGTTGGACACGCTCTAAGCACTGGGCAACGGGTGATTCGTTTATGAAAGGCCGCAGGCTTGCCACAAGACGTCACATCTCCCGAGTACACTGGACGCTAATGATCGAGGCAACACACTAAATAACCAGCATCTCGCACAGATTTTAAACATATGTCGAGTGCACTCAACGTGGCTAACGTGGCTTCGGCCAACAACTTTTGTGTACTTACACTATAAGTGTCTTGTCCTCTTTCAGCTGTCCTTTAGAATTGATCTCATTAAAAGTCTTCCTAATAAGATGGGCACGGGGATCACTAAAAAGTAAAAAGGGAAGTTGAAAACAATTCAGTTTGCATACGATCATGCATATGCATATTTCATGCATTTACCAGTAAATCTCACACAGAGAGATAAGAGTAACATGATAGATCGATTTTGCTGAAGTTCTGAAATGCACACATCTACATCCCATCGGGTTGCAAGTTCTAAATCACATCTTTAACTGCATGACAATTATTTAGCAGATACTGGTTCACTTCACAACAAAAAAATAGGACCGTAGTATTCTACAATTCTTTGTTTGGAGGCGCCGTTACAGAGAGAGAATGGCTCGACGTTGAGTCGAAAAATTTGCACCACTCGCCATTTGCAAAACTCACAATCCACCTTGTTTGTCCCCCAAATTTTGTATAAGCATTGTCTTAAATTTCATTTGGAACCACTGTAAGTACCCAGGAGAAATTAAGAACAAAGGTTATGCAAAACATTTTTTGGAGCAGGGAGCAGGATAGGGGGTGGGAGTGGGGGGGGGGGGGGAAGGAAGAGGTATTAGGGGGGAGGTGTAAATATATGGGGAATGAGGCCTTTAAAGGTGGGCTTTCACATCACCGGGTGGCGCGGGAAGAGGGGTAAAACAGTGGTCCCTCTAAACAGTTTCGTAGTGTAACCCAACACACCTCTCCCCAAGTCTCATAGACAGAGGAGAAACGCCAACACTGTAACACAAAAAATTTCACCCCCCCCCATTTTGAAAAACTCACATCCCCCCTTTTTTTCCCCCCATATTTTGTAAAAGCATTTTTTAAAATTTAATTTGAAACCACTTAAAGAACCCAGGAAAAATAAAAAAAAAAGGTTAAGAAAAAAATTTTTGGGGGGGGGGGGGGGGGGGGGGGGGGGGGGGGGGGGGGGGGGTAAGGAAGATGTATTATGGGAGATGTGTAAATATATGGCGAATGAGGCCTTTAAAGGTGTGCTTTCACATCACCGGGTTGCGCAGGAAGATGGGTAAAACAGTCGTCCCTCTAAACAGTCTCGTAGTGTAATCCAACACTACTCTCACCAAGTCTCAAGCTGCGCAAATGACCAACAGAGCCTTTTAAATCACGTGGTCAGCAGCTATGGAAATTCATGGAACAAAAGAATATTTTTACAAAGGAGAAAGGTCTAACTCCCACAGGATCGGTTTGAAACACCAACATGGCCGCCGTTTCACTGTTTTGGGACAGGAATATGCCAGGCGTAAGGTCATGCGAAAATGCTCTATATCTATCAATAAGATACTAATTAAAAACAAATACAATATTGACTCTAAAAAACACAGGTGATTTTTCCATTAATCCCCCTGCCATATCAAATTGTATATTTTAGTTAGGAACGAAAACAAGGTAGCACACGGCTAAAACGGAGAAAAAACTCCCCGATTTCAAAAATACCCGAATACTTGTGGACGAGGCCCTATTTGCCTTGATTTTAGGCACTGTCATCTTAGCGGCAAAATTTACTGATTGCCGCCTGATAAGGAGAACATTGGGTAATGTATGATAAGGAGTTTGAAATGCAGGAAAATAAAACTAAATCTCAAGATAAAATTCAGCCGCAAAATGGAAGAATAGAATCACCTAATTGTGGGAAACCCTGCAACTTACTGTTCTCGCATGAGATGTTGAACCCATCTTTGGTCAAATCTGTTCCGCTCATCTTCCGACACTACAATCATTGCTACGGCCCTGTTAATGCAATAATAATGACAATCAACTCATACAAGTCTAAGTCCCTAAACACAGGCTAGACCGCGAGAAGTCGTCCTTCTTTCCTCAGAGCCACAGACAGCGTGCGAAAATGTAAAATTATGAAAATTTTTGCGGGCGAAAAGAGGAGCCTGCAATCCTAATCTCCAGGTTGTTATTACGCATGCGTCGCATGTATGTAGCCAGCATTGGTTTGGACTTCCACTAAGAATGAATGGAATGCACAGAACACAATTTGATCACGCGCGTTTGTACCTTCTATCACTCGTAATCTGATCACGCGTGTTTTGACTATCCGTCAAATGAAACTTTCACAAAGTACAACGATGGAGCAAAAGCGTTTTGACTTTCGATCCTTGTTGCCCCCACTCCTTAACCTTTGGTTATTAATAGTATTTTAAAGTAGGAAGTGAAGAGAGATTAAGGACTGCTCGTAATCTACACACGTTTAAAATTAGCTCCTTATTAATCTTTCTGAAGGCTTGAAAGTTTAGCCTCCAACGGGTTAGCTAGGTTGAAATTAAATTTTAATTTGCAGCTTAAAAATAATTGAAAACCAGTAAACCCCAAACATATTTTGATCAGCACTGCTGTAGCTTGTTTTGAAGTACTTTTTCTATTGCGGTTATAAGCCCCCTCGGATATAGCCAGTCTATTTAAAATAACAGTGTTTCCAGAGTGGCTCTTCATCTGTTATACCTATATAAATTCAATTAACTAGAGGTATGCAATAGACAAAAATATTTACAATAGATAAAAATGAAAAAAAGAAAAGAAATGAAATGAAAGTAAAAATGAAAATACAATAAAAATCCCAAAATTTATCTAGATAAAAGAAACGATTCAATCCCCCTACAATAAAAATTAAAGTCACCGCACATCTTTAGATGATCAAGAAGGCTGTTAAAAAGCTGTGCACCAGAGTCCCGAAAGGTGCCTTTTTCGAGTGGAATTAAAACCTAGTGGCTGAGCTGGAACGTAATGTATGCAGACTAGGTTATTTGATTGATTCTCAAGTATGACGGCCAGTTATTCATATAGAGCGCCTTATGCACTAATTTGGCAAGCAAAAGTCCCTCCGTTCTCTCATTGGTAATTAACCAAGTTTAAGAAAATCTTCGCGTTTCCGGACGTATCGTCCCGTGACAAAGCTTGCTGCAGCGAATTGAAATCGTTGCAAGAGTTTCAACAGGAAATCATGTAAAAATTAAAATACAGTATCACAATAATCTAATGCTAATACTTGAGCTAAGTAAAGTTCCTAAGCTTAGAATCGGCAAAGTTCTTTATCTTTCGTAAGACACTAAGTGGACTATAGCACGTTTTAACAATCTTGATCCTAGTTAAGATGCTCCTGTAAAGGCAGACCTAGTAGTTTGGTCTGTTCGACGCGTTCCAGTCCTTCTTCTGAAATCTTAAGATCTAAACTAATCTCACGCAAGCAGTGAACACAAGCCATTTAGCTGGTACCCTGCGAGCAGTGGTTTCTCCAGTTGTTTAAGACGGATTGAGCGCCAGATGTGAGTCAGAAGACCACAAGCTTAGAGCTTCAAGAGCAGTGTTCAAATTCTCTGTGGATTCAGTAAGATTAGTCAGGCGGCAGATTTCATGAATTGTGGTGCAATCTGCATACTGAAAAGTGGTAACTGAATTTGGAAGGTTGTCTTGTAGATCAGAGACGTAAAGGTTGAAAAGCATTGGCCCAAGAACTGACCTCTGAGGAACACCAAACTGCATGCGAGCATTATCTGACATCTGGTCATCTATTTGAACCAAGTGAAAACCATTACTAAGATAGCTAGTCAGCCAACTGAGAAAGTTCTTCGAGAAACCAAGGGAAAAGTGTCTTGTACCGAACTGTGTCGAATGCCTTCGAAACGTCGGCAAGAACCACCAATATAACTTCACCTTTCTAATGCTTGAGTAGATCGTCACGTATACATAATACAGCGCCCTTTGCGGAAACCAGATATATTCATTATTGTGATGGAGAGTAGCTTCCTGTTCGCAATAGATATTTATGTGTTTCGCAACAAGCCTTTCAAAAACTTTAGAGAGTGTTGAGAGGATAGATATTGGTCAAAAGTGTCCCTCAGCTATAGACAGATCTACTTCATTGGCTACCAATTGAACAAAGGATAACTTTCAAAATTGCAGTAATTACATTTAAGGCACTTCATGGTGCTGCACCTAGCTATATCACTGATCTTATCAAGCCTTATACACATGGTAGACTTCTTAGATCCTCTAATCAATTTTTACTTTCTACATCTAAATTTAATCTTAAAACCTATGGTGGCCGGTCTTTTACTATTGCTGCACCTTCTGTTTGGAATGCACTTCCATTCGAACTTAGATCTTTTAATTCCCTTTCTTCTCTTAAATCTAAGCTTAAGACTTGGCTTTTTAAAATTTGTTATGATGTTGTCGTATAGAATGATGATGTTTTGATAGGATGACAATGTATTTTTGTAGTTTTGTATGTTTAGGATTTTGTTGTTATTTTTATTATGTAAAGCGCTTTTGGACCATTGGGAATTAGCGCTCTATAAATATTGTATATTATTATTATTATTTATTACTTTGGGTATAGGACTAATCTTGCCTGTTGCCATGCATTTGAAAAGTACGATTTCCTGATATAGTCAGTTGTTAGTAATGGCGGTCAAAGGTCCAACTATCTGCCACAAGTTTGACAAAATAATTTGATGGGAATCATGTCAGGGCATTTCAGTATTTATAAACCCTTCCAAAACTCCTTATGAAGCCCAGAGTTTATAAACAGCAGTTTAATGTATCATATAACAACTGTATTCATATGACCTTAGAAGAAAGATCAATCATCAAAACAGTTTTCGCAAACCTTTCATTTCCATAATACTTCCATGCATCTACTAGTCCTGCAGCCACACCCAAACACGATGTATTTATGGGAAGCTGAAAAGAGAAGTTTGTCCTGTTAACCGCTTAAGTACCAATATCAACAGGCACACTCTCATCACTGTTATCCATACATTTCATATGGTACTGCTTGAGAGAATTTGCTCAAACATCAAAACATTTCATCTTTGTTGATCAATAGACCTTTTTACCGATACGGTGGCCATGTTGAATTTATTAGATTTAAGGAGAATTATGGGATGCCCCAGTGGTGCTCACTCAACGCGTACTTTTCGGGCAAAAAGAGAACTTCCCTGTGTATTTCTCAGAAAAAAGGCGATCATTATTACATCCAAACACGCCACAAAGATCTTTTTTCCCATTACAATCTTTTTCTGGGAAAACTGAAAGAAAAATTGGCCCGAAAAGCGCACGTAAATAATGAGCGAGTATACCGGATCATGCTCATGCCCCCTGGGCATCCCATAATACTCCTTAAATCTAATAAATTCAATATGGCCGCCGTATTGGTAAAACGGTCAATTCATTCACTCTCATGACCTGCATGTTTGATCAGGCATTGCTATTGTTAGGGAGAAATTAGATGCTGAGGCCCTATAAAGGCTGAATCCTTTAAACCCTAATTTCAAAATAGAGATTCCCATCTACTGTCCCTATACTTTTTCAGTAGAAGTAGCGCAGGGAGAATTTGTGGAAATATCAATTAGACTCATCTTCACTGATCATGTACTCAATTCTCATGACCACTCTGTTTTCTAAAGCATTCAAGTAATGAGGAGAAATTTCCTGCTGATCACTCTTAGGGCTTAAAGGGTTAAAGGGTTAAGCCTGCTTCATTTAGAGCTGCCGAGAGGCATCTCAGAGGGTCCCTGATTTCCGTTCCTCCATCCCACTACTCCAACAAAAAGTTCCATCCATCCCTCACCAAGCAGTTTCTATAATAAGCCATTTTCAAAATGGCTTCATTTTACTACTACCAGAATCCTTTGAACAGGGTTTTGCTTTCTTGTGCAAATTAGGGCTTTTGTTATTTAAACCTCGCTGGGGTTACCAAATTTAAAAATGCAAGAAAAACAAAATGAATTCTGGTCTTAGAAGTAGGGTGAGAAGATGTCATCATGCACATGACTAATTAGCCTTCGAGCAGTCTTACTTGTGCGAGATCAAGGAAAATCTTGGCAGTGGGTCAGAGCTAATGAGGCCAGCTCCACTGGAATTTGCTCTCACAGTTCGATGGCCAATTTTCCCTGAACTCGCACTCGTAATACGAAATCAGCTGCATTTGTAAAAGACAGGGAAAATCTCAAACAATTATTACACTTTGGAGGAAACTATTACAGTTGTATGTGAAGTTACCTTGTCTTTTTTACTTGGGTCATGTTCATTCTGAAGATCTGATAAGAACCTGTAAATAACAGACAGTATTACACCTTTTGCTCATCATTACAAGAAAACTTCTAATTAATGTGGTTATTGAAAGTATATTATCATAAGAAGACATTCAATCTCTTATAATGAATTAGGCTTTCATTGTTTTTCTTACAAATTCATTAAACATTTTTGCAGGAAAATTTTTTTAACAGCGAGTATAAGAAGTCCATTCTATTGTATTAATATAAAAATGATACAAACAAACAGCCCTTTTTTAAGTTCAAAAAGGACAATATAAATGTCAATAACACAAAAAGTGTTTAGGGTTCATCAATCACATGATTCTGACACAAGTGCAATCCTGTAAATACCCATGGTTATTAACCTTATAACCTCCCTCCAATCTTACCTCTAATGGTATTTTTCTTTGACTTTGTGAATCCTGAGCTTCAAATATGAAAAATCCCAGTTCATCAAAATATTGCATGGGGCGGGTGGGGGGGGGGGGGGACTGGGGGGGGGGGGGGGGGGGGGGGGGGGGGGTACTCAAAAATGATTCATACAGGGACGCTTCGCCCTGAGGCCCAACCCCTTACCCTTTTATGTAGTATTTTGACAGAAAAGGTACCCCTTTTAGGCAGAGCTTCCTCATATAGGGCATTACCGGGAGTACAGTAGCCCCCTCACCCCACAGGCACTGCAATCATTTGCACTCAAAAAAGATTCATACAGGGATGCTCTGCCCTGAGGCCCAACCCCTTACCCTTTTATGTAGTATTTTGACAGAAAAGGTACCCCTTTTAGGCAGAGCTTCCCCAAATAGGGCATTACGAGGAGTACAGTACCCCCTCACCCGACAGGCACTGCAATCATTTGCATATGCAGGGGCCAAAAAAAAACAGACGAAATTTAATGGAGGAGTTTGCCTGAGAAGGCAGCTGACATTTGGCGATGTTACCAACTGTTCCCCTGCAAAATGACGTCTGAGGAACAAATGCAGAAATTCCATACAGATGACGTGTCACTAACCAGATCAGGTTTGTCATTCTGATTGGCTGAAGTGTATATATATATATACTTCTCAAACTCATTAATAATTCATAAAGAAAATTCAAAGGAAATTAATGTTTAATGAGTGTTTGGATATCAGATGAAAAACTGCTCATTTTTGCATTCTTAATTTCTCCTTCAAAAATGATTTTGTTTGAGAAGAAATATCAAACATTCGACACAGTGTTTCATCACCAGATGAAACACTGCGTCTCATGTTTGATATATAATTACTTAAAATAGAGAGAAGAAGTTGTTACATCATGTTGCCATGATAGCAAAATTGCTGGATGACAACAATCCAAAACGTTACTTAAATTAAGCAGATTCGCACTGTTTCAAACTCCATTGATCTTATTTAATTTCATTTAATTTGTCAAATGTTGGCAAAATTTTCTGAGTTAAATCCAAAAGGACGGTATCTAAGTTTAGAAAAATAAAAAGTCTAACATTTTTGGGTTGTGCTTGCCTACTCCATAAAGCAGGCGCATCAAATTAAGAAGTTTCATGTCGCAGTCGTGCAACGACTAACAAAATGTACAAAAAAGGGTGATGCACGTGCAAGTTTGTTTTTCTGCCAATCTAAACCTATTGCTTTTTCAAGCTGTTCGCCATCGCCGTTGCAAAAACTCCCTATTGTTGTGATCCAGAAATTTTGCTACCATGGTAATGTGACGTAACACTTCTCCTCTCTGTTACTAGTATTACTACTACTTACGAGTGTAGTGCTCTCACTTGTGGACTCAGTCCACCAAAAGATGAGGCAATTGTATTGATCTCCACTTGCTTGATGCTAAGATCATCTGGTTTGTTTCCTATGTCTAGCATATAGTCTGACCGTAAAATTCCAAGGGCAATTGGCTGCAAGAATTGACAAACCAATGTTTTTTAATACAAAAGCACACATTATACGATTTTAGCAAATAAGAAAACCAACTAGCAAGCTAAATAATACTGTTAACTGATCAGATTTTTGCAGTTTTCTCAGAGTACCAGCAAGTCTGCTACAGTAAATTAACTTTGATGTGAAGTAATTGTTCTGATTAACTGATTGATTGTATATTGAAGAACTGACTAGAAAATCCTCTCAAAGCTTTTGAGGATCAGTCTTTTGAGGGGCTATATTTCATCTAATGCATTTTTACTTTAATCTTTTACATGTACCTGTGATAATCCCTCTTTTCTTGTCGTCTCATAAATTTCAAATATTTTTGCTGTAAACTCATCCACCCCTATGGTGCTAAATTAGAGCAATAAAAATAATATTTAGTATTCCTTAATGGGAAGGCAGCATGCCTTTAAGTGACAAAAGATGCTAAACCCTTACTAGCATCAATTTTCTCCTTGAAACATTGATTTATCATCCAGAAAGAAAATCATTATGAGAAATATTTATCAAATGATGAACAGAGAAAAAACGCTTTTTTTTACTATAAAATTGAATTCTCTCCACCAATCATTGAGGAAATAAATGCATGGAGAATTTGTATGTGGATGTTAGGGCTAAAAGGGGTTTACAGGTGGAACAGGTAAGAGACTCACCGCTAAACATAAACAAGGGTGATGTGAAGGACGTGCTGGATTTTGGCCAAATTTGTCTGTTGTTTTGTTTTGTTTCGCTTATTTTTTCTACGAAGGATACCACAAATTCAGTTATTGAAGTTGGTGGTGCAGGTGACATCTCAACGCTTAATATGCAGAGAACCGGATTAAATTAGGCAAATTATCAAGATGACAGAGCATGAATGCTATTAAATACAAATTTCTACCTCACTTAAACTTAAAAAGACCAAAAACACCAACTACTAGAAAAACGCATCTTGCAAAATCTCGGTAATTTCTTGGAAAGAGCTTGGCACATAATAGCTCAACCCAGGTCACCAAATTGGCAACTTTCACTGCAGTTTTAGTCGTGTCGTCAAAAATTTTTTATGCCTGCCATGGCAACTAAAACAGTCGCAGCTTGGAGCACTGGACAGAGAAAAATACCAATACAATAGTAAAACATCAAGAGCGACATGGTTTGAAATTCAGACCAGGGACATATGTAACCCCCTAACGGGCCTTGTTATCTGACCTGATAATTTCTGAAGAGGGAAAATACCAGAAATAGACTTCTGAACAAATAAGGGGAAAGTTAAATCATAGCATGCGTAGCAGGCATGCATTTCTGTTCGGTTGCCGAGCAAAGAAAAACCGAGGAACAGGATTTTCAGTTTTGGCCGTGCAAAGAATGGAACGAGAGCCAAGAATGAAAGTGGGGGGAGGGGGAGGGGAAGGAATGAAATGGTTGCAGACAAATCCCAGGATTTTGAAAACCCTGCCACCAGTGAACAGGGCGCCTGCTTGGCTCGGCTAGTCAAACATAATTGACATGTGTCGATCATTGTTTTGCTTCAAAATACTGATAAGTCATTACACACATATTAATTTTCTGCTGTTAGTGTTTATTCTAAAGCATTTTCTTGGACCCCTTTTGGAATGTAAATGTCTTCTTGAGAAGGGTTTTAGGTTGTTTAATTTTCTCCAAAGTGCCTCCTGGATCTGAATAACTAAAAGCAATTTTCTTTTGTCTGCAAATGCGATGGTTTCCTGCAATGTTTTGTTATGCTGGGCCCAGCTCATTAGTGTTTTTTTGCAGGATGGTAAATTCTCTCTGATAGTGATTTACAGATCCAAATTTTGAAGAATAGATTGGACCTTAAACTCCAGCTATGGAGAATTGCATTGTGACGCATTCAAGATTGTGATTGCTTGGCAACAACTTTTGAATTAGCTTAACAGTCTTCCCACTGTTCTGTCATTGCCACTTTCTGATCAGGCCAGAAAATGGTTTTGGTTCTGCACGCAAACCTCATCAGTTACCGGGTTGTTTTTCTTCTTAGTTGCTTTTACAAGAGCAACTTTAGTTGTTCTGTGCTGTGGCAAGAACGGTAAGCCGTTCTATCCAGCTGAGCTTTGACCTTGTACAAATACCCGCCTGGGGGGTCAAAAATTCTAGACTTGAATGTACTTGTTACATTTTACTACCTAAAATCCAATTTTCTGGAGGTTTTATGTAACCCTTGCAGTTTATTCGTGTTGCTTCCGAAGAAACTTTGTTTTGGTTCCATGCACGTCCTTAAAAGTTCACTTCCGCTGTACGGAAGGTTAAACATTTTTATTAGTCAATTTATGACAGCTGATGGCAGCATCAAATGTTGGTGCGTGCACTCATGCATGAAAGGCCAAGTGGGCAGTTTTTAAAATCGTGGGGTTTGCATGCAAGAGTTTCCTTCTTTCTTCCCCAACCCCTCCCCACTCTTTTACTCACGTCATTTTTCGCAAGGTCTTAGGGGGTGTTTACATGAGAAAACTCACACCAGCGCGAGTTTCATACTGGAATGACTTTTTGATTTCCAACTACGTTTACATGATGACAGGGTCATTTCATATCACATTATTTGAAGGTACACTTCATGTTGATAAAATACACGTGTGTTTAAAAATCGCAACCATTACGTATGCACTACCCGTTCCAGTCTACCAGCAGACCAATTTCACACTGAAACGGGTGGTCCATTCGCAAGATTTTGTACTGTAGTGAAATTCTAGCCCTGGTACAACAACCAGGGCAAACTCACGCCGGGGTGACTCATGCTGTCATGACATTTTGTGGTGGTATCACGTAAACAAATATAAAGTCATGAGAGGGAACCGGAGGTGCACTCGCACTGTAAACAGCCCCTTAGACTCTCGTTCCTTATTCTCTGCTCTGAAACTGCACGAAACTGCTAGCTAGGTAGGCTAGTTGAATCATTGATATCAAGTTGGTGGATAAAGTTTTTCGGATGAAGAGTGCTGTTAAACCCCTTTAACAGGGGCACCCAACGGCAATTTTCGGAAAATATCTGTTCGGAAGACGATATGAGATCTAGAATTTTCGGAACAGCTGTTGTAAAATTTCTTGCTTGCCTGCCTCTCCTAGGATTTTCGAACATCTACAAAATGGTATAATTGCCCATTTTTAACGGATTTTGACCCTAAAAAAGGCCTCCTAGAATTTTCGGGAGTCTTTTCCTGGCTGAAATTTCCGAGAAGGTAAGTTTTTATCCCTATAATTTTCGGATCAATAGAGTTTCAGCTAGGAAATCCGAACAGATGAAAAGTTTTTAGGGGATAAAAATATGCCTATATCTACCGTTTAAATACTAAACTACGTTCAACAATGCTGTGTTAAGTGGTTTTGAACTATATCCTCGTTGGGTGCCCCTGCTTTAAGGAAGAACCTGGGGCAAATAAAAGAAACAAACAAATATTAAATGAAATGGCCCTTATCGAGTCCCATCACGAACCACTCCAAAGACTGCAACAACTGCATAATTTATCTTATGCTTGAAAAGATTGTCTCATTCCTTACCCACTCAAAGCTTCCTTTAGAAATTCATGATCCTGACTTACTCGATGGACCAACACATTAAAGTCGTTCTGTACCTCTTTCGCTTGAAGGAACAGTCGCTTCGGAAAAGCAGTGGGAAGAAGAGTAAATGGTGCATGTTCTACCGTAAAGTACGATTCCTTGGATTGCATGACAAGGCCATGAGTTAAACAATAGTCCTTCCCTTCGGTGACTAAATACTCCACGGTATTTTCTGCTGGAAGTTCACGTGCGTCCATGTTGCTCTTTGCGAAGTATCAAAAGGGTGATATGAAGGATTGCGAGTTCTGATGTTTACCGGGTTAGTTGTTATCTGAAATTAAGGCGTTACTAGTGCCAAAATACTGTGTTTCCCTGTACGGCATATGACCTCAGCTTTTGGAAAGATTTTTCAGTAAAAACTGCAAAATACCTGTTGGAACCGAACACAGGCGTGGAAGGCCGCCATGACATTTGCGCGATAGTGGACTGGTGCCCTCAATTCCAGTCTCTCTCCACGACACAAATTGCCTATGTTTTTTTGCCTCAAATCCGATGTGTATTTCGAGTCCGACAACGATCTTTGAGTCGATCATATATTTTATTTGGAAAAGGTTGTTCCAGACCAGAGTGCTAAGCAAAAAAAAAACTGTCAAATTTCAAGCCAACCACGCCCCACGATCACCTGTTCTGTTCCTACACGGCCTGACGGGTGCAGTCGATAGAAACAGATATCGGAAAACCAATCAATAATTCGATAATTGTCGATAATCAAGTTTTCATTAATATCGACTGAAACGGTCAGTCGATAAAAATCGATAACAACAACTTTTTTCGTTGTCAGCGCTATGGATTTGATCGATTTTGACGATATTATCGATTTCATGATCTTTCATTGCCCTTGAGGTAACCTGAGATCAGGCGTTATTTTTTTATTTTTTTTTTGCTTCTTTGCTTCTTCGGTTGGAGAGGGAAAAAAAATAACGCCCCCTTCCCGTGAGAGACATAAAGGGATAATAGGGAGAGGGCATGATCTCAGGCTACCCTTGAGGTTGATTGAAAAACTTGCGAACAGCATAACTCTTTTTTTATCCTGTCGATAGCTGAAAATGTTTCGTTACTGAATGTTGAGTGTTATGTTTAAAATAAATTTCGCTACAAATTTATCCGTCCTAAGTCATATAAATAATGCACTCAGTATGTTCCATAGCCTGCGTGGCAGGCGTTCGAAAGGGAAGGGAAAGGGAATTAGAGCGCGAGACCGCGCGCGAGGGAGGAGGGAGGAGGAGAACCTTTCCTTTCTCCCTCGCGCGCCCAAATTCCCCCTTCCCCTTTTAACGCCTGCCACGCAGGCTATGTGTTCCGCAAACAACGTATTTTGCCAATGTTAAACGCTAAAACACATGGAAATTTAAGTGCCGATTAAAATCGATAACTTCGATAGAAGTCGATGAAAATCGATAATTATCAGTTAGCAACAACTTTTTCGATTCTCAATTTAATCAATGGATTTATCGATAGTTATCGATAACTATCGATTATGGACTTTATTGATTGCACTCCTCAGGCTACACAGGGGCCAACTACTTTAAAAAAATAGAAGTTGCCTGATCAAAGTAGAAAACATCTTTTTTCTGTATTTTACTCATTAGAAAAGTCTTTGTTTTCTTAATTTTCTTATTTTTCAGTCTTTACATGTAAAGTAACGCTCAGGCGCGTAAGCCATGCACGCCAGCAACGATAAACGAGGGGGCCCAGTTCCTTTTTGCAAGGTTTTCTCTCGATGCAGTAGAAAGGATTCTTTTTACAACCGCAAAACATTGTTTGAAAATTAAGAACGTTAAAAGACGATATACTAGATTATCTTCTGTTTCGTCTAACAAAAAATGGTTTGATAAAGAATGTCGTCTTAAGAGACACGAATTGAGGAAACTTGCTAATCTAAAACACAGAGATCCTCTCAATATTACGCTTAGGGAAAACTATCACACTGTCTTAAAACAGTACAAAAACGTTCTGAAACAGAAGAGAAAAGAATACTATCATACTAAGATTTCGGAACTGGAAGACATGATAGATAACTCAAACAGCCGAAATTTTTGGAACTGCTTGAAATCTATGGATGATTCTATGAAGGAAACTAGTACCCCGCCAATCTCAGAAGAAAGTTGGTTGTCTCACTTCCAGTCACTACACTCAAACGAGCCTCTTAATTCACACCAAGAAGCCATTATCGATGAGTTAACAAGATTAGAAGACGCAACAACACAATCACATGCCTTGGACTACCTAATAACTGAACTCGAAATACGCACAGCGGCTAACAAACTCAAAAACAACAAATCTTCGTATTCAGATAGAATAAAAAATGAAATGATCAAATCCAGCTTAAATGAACTAATGCCTATTTACTTGAAGTTATTTAACGCTGTTCTGACGTCAGGCACTATGCCTCAAACATGGTGCGGTGGCCTTATAACACCAATTTTTAAAAGTGGGACTAAAAGTGATCCCTCAAATTATCGAGGAATTTGTATTTCTAGTTGTCTTGGGAAACTATTTTGCTCAATTCTCAATCATAGACTTCTCAAGCACATTCAGTCGCGTGACATACTTCATAAATCTCAAATAGGTTTCTTAGCAAATAATCGAACCGCTGACCATGTTCTTACACTACGAACATTAATTGACAAATACGTTAACTGTCACAAAACGAAAGTATACGCATGTTTTGTGGACTTTAGAAAAGCATTTGATTCGGTGTGGCACGATGGACTCTTATACAAGCTGTTACAAATAAATGTCCGAGGAAACTTCTATAAAGTCATAAAAAGTTTATACTCAAACTCTACCTGTTCTATTAGGATTGGAAATAACCAAACACAACCTTTTCAATACACTAGAGGTGTGCGTCAAGGCTGCATTTTAAGCCCTCTTCTCTTCAACCTATACGTTAATGATCTAGCTTTTTCATTCAACAATATTTTATCTGATCCGTTTGTGCTACCAAATGGCACCAAACTCAATTCTCTTTTTTATGCTGACGACCTTATTATATTATCACGATCGAAACTAGGATTACAAAATTGCCTAAACAAATTGTCTTCATATTGCAACTCCTGGATGCTTAAAATCAACCCCAAGAAAACCAAAATAATGGTTTTCCAAAAAGGCGCAAAAAAATGTGATTATGTTTTTCACGTAGGAAATGAAATGATAGACATTGTAAAAGACTATACTTACTTAGGGACTCGCATCTCGTCTCCCGGAAATTTTACACTCTCACTTGAACATCTTCGGCAAAAAGCCCTTCATGCTCTATTTAGTCTAAGACGCCACACTGATTTTAGTAAACTGAAACCTTCCCTTGCAAATAAAATTTTTGACACAATGGTCTCACCGATTTTAACTTACAACAGTGAAGTTTGGGGTGCCTTTGTGAAATCAGATTTTAAGTCATGGGATAACTCCGGAATCGAAAAAACTCATTTGCACTTCTGTAAACGATATTTAGAAGTCCATAACAAGTCATCCAATGTTGCATGCAGATCTGAACTTGGCAGATTCCCTCTGATCATTGATATAAATAACAAGATACTTAATTACTTAAACTATCTCCAAGAAAAAGATGAAAATTCTATAGTTAAACAATCTTTAAAAATATCTGTTGACCTTTATCATAGTGGTCAAAATAGTTTTTACTCCAGTCTTAAGAAGATGACTGACTACTATGATTTCCCAGGCTTTAATTGTAATTTACTGAATAAATGTAAAATTAAGCAATATGTAGATCTTATGCAAAAGAAATATATCACTTACTGGAATCATACCCTTCAACATTCACAAAAACTTAACTTTTATTATAAAATCAAAACGAATTATAGCCCTTCTGTCTACCTAGATTTAACAAGAAAGAACCCTTCTAGGAAAACATTAGTGAAACTGAGAATAAGCAGTCACAAACTTAGGATTGAGACAGGTAGATACGACAATCTACCACGTGACGAAAGGTTATGTAATCTCTGCAATTGTAACAGAATTGAAGATGAAACTCACTTTTTATTAGATTGTCCAAGTTTTTCTTCCATAAGAGATATGTTCTTCTCTAAACTAGATCCTAAAATACCGTTTCTGCGACTACAATCACATGAGTCCTTATTATCACATCTGATGAATTCTCCTGACTATTTTATTAACATCCAATTAATTTCATTTATATCAACTTGCTTTGAATTGAGAGACAAACTTATCTCCGGAATAATTAATCCTACTGATGGTTAGAAATAAACAATGATTGATAAGTTTCAAATTATTTTAAATATTTAATTTACAAGGAATAAATAAGTAATTTCATGTAGCTTTTGCAATACTGTAATACTTTGTTATGGTCATGCAAATAAAGCTTATTGTTGTTGTTGTAGGTCATTAGACGGGCCGGAAGGAAGTAGCCCACGCGTACGTCACATGTACAGTTAAGTGTATTTTATTCAATTTCATATATTTATTATTTAATATTTTTTTTTGGAAATCTTTCAAAACGTTGAGCAGATGAATGAGATGAGCCAAGACTTGCCACTGTCATGTCCACATGAGAAAGAAAAAAAAATGAAAGAAAAAACCCATCTTCATTTTGGTGAGATTTTCATGTTTTACATGTAAGTTGTTAAAGCCTACCGAGAGGTTTTTCAGATAAATAAATAAATTTTAGTAAAATGAACTTAGATTTTGACCTTTCAGACTGAGTCAAATACTATCCTATCATTTTTTTATGTAAAAAAAAAATAACATAAAGACAAAACTATCGAGAAAGACTTCACGCCACCCATTTCCGTATAAAATGTAATGTGCGTGGTGTGGTATGAAATATGTTCGCCTAGGATTTTCACCAATGAAAAAATGGCAATTCAAATCGGCAAACTCAGCTAAGCTCTTTGTTGAAGCCGCTCATGATTTGTTAATGTCAAACTTTTTTCAAACCATTCACAACTTCATTTTCTTTTTCTATTTGAATAGTACTAAGTAAGTCGAAATACAGGAAAAAGTTAAAAAAATGTAAATTCTGCCCCATAACTCAAGGTGGTAGTGCGGTAGCTTTTTCAGGACTGACTGACAACATTTTTTGTCTGCCTTGCATGGGTCAGCAATATTTAATAATTAAAAAATAATTCTTATTTTCTCAGGCTGGAGCGATCAAAGACGTTAATGGTCCTATCAATTACATTGACTTGTTGCCAGTTGCTGTTTAAAAAAACTGGCGTAATCTCGAACAACGTTTTTTAGTCTTTTTTTAGTCCTTAACCCTTATTATCTCAATTTAGTTTTATTTTAGCAGATTTGACGAAGTCAGCAGAGGGTCCTCAATGCGTTTTTTGGGGATACGGGAATTCCCTTATTTGAAGCCCGGTATTCGGGATTTTAAAGCGAAATTAGGGCGAGATTCGGGATTGAAAGTATGCGCTGGAGGTGGGTTACCAAAAATAACCCGCGGGATTACGGGATGGCACGAAGTTTTGGGTCGAGATTACGGGATTAATTGAAGAACCCTGAGACACTGTGATGTCAGTCATGTGATAGAGTGATTTTACTTGAATCATGAAACAGATACAAACAAATAGTGAAAAATAGAAAGAGGTTAAACACAGAAGACAATAGAATTAGTGCATAGTAGTGCGTAGTAATCTACTACCTATTTATTTTCACGGTACAAGTAAAATCGCTCTATCATGGATATATGAGAGTTCTATTTTTTGTGGGTAACGCGATCGATAAACAATTATGCATACTGATACACCTGTAGGCGGGTTACAAAGCATTGGCGTTGACAGCGAGTGCTAGTTATTGTTTTAATCCTTTGACCTCACACCTCAAACTTTGAAGCGAACTGACGAGCCAGCGCCTCCAGGAAACTAAAGGCAATAGACAACAAATCGCAGAATGAAAAGCCTAGTTTCCTTCATCGCACTTCTGCTTACATTTACAACTGTCCTCTCCAAGCAAATCAGCTACAATAACTGCACAGGTGAAGAGCTTGGAGAGATATTGTCCATTGACATAACACCGTGTGATGAAGAACCTTGTGTCCTCAAGCGCGGAGGTAACGAAACAGTAACCATAAACTTCATTCCACACGAAGCTGTGACGGCGGCAAAGATCTATGCCTATGCTATATTTGGTTTAATACCAGTTCCCCTGCCATTGCCGGATCCTGATGCTTGTCAAGGGCATGGACTGACATGTCCACTGAAGAGTCGGGAAGCTGTTGAGTTTGTATACACCCAGTACATTTCTGGGGACTTTCCAGTTGGACAGTTAAAGATCAAAGCAGAGATAAAGGACCAGAACGATAAATCCATCATCTGCGGTATTGTTAACTTGCAAATATCTTGAGCATTGTTATGTGTATGTATTTTTGAGGGATTTTTTAAGACACGGGGTGATTTTATATCGTGCAATCAAAGTACTGCTTTGATTATATTTAGTCATTAATGTTTTCCTTAATACGTCTGGTAGCTTAAAATGAACTGAGGAGACAATTTAGGTTTGTCAGTGAATAAACAGAGTACTAGTACTCCAGAAAGATTGTGTTACAAACCTTAAGCTCCTTTAGGTATTGTTGTTACTTTGTTGTCACTCATAGTTTGCACTTGTGATTTGTAATTCTGATTTTCTTTTTTAGTCTACCAAAGTAACCTAAAACAAAAGCCTGACTAATGGTAGTTTCTGTCAATACCGCGACTTGAGTTGTTGGGAAAAAGTCAAAAAAAGTCAATCTAAAAGAGGACAATCCCATTTGGGAAGTAAATTCGTTGTCTACCAACCTTGAGTCACCTCGGCACTTGAACAAGTCGCGTGAATTGCAAAGTTCATTTTTACGTAGTCTGCAGAATTCAATGTGCCCACCAGTTAAAACGGTCAGGTGACATTTAAGGTTCGATTGTCAGCCGCTGTTCTGGAAATGAGCCCGTGCTCCTTCCCCAATCAGATAGCCTGCACTGCAGGCGTATTTTGGGCGGGCGAAAGCTGCTTGTTTATGATCGTGTTGTTGTAACCGCCATCTTGATTTTATGACGGAGGAAGATTAGGGAAAGTAAAAAAAGTAACCCTAAGGGTAGGTGCTAGGGCGAAAGACTCGCCCCATTTCCTCCCTGCTCTCTTCGGGAGTTTAATTCTACATAGCGCTTTCGCGAGCAAAGACATTAGGCATTCGCGCGTCCGAAGAAAACGCCTACAATTAGAGGACTGTTAACCCCGAGAAAGCCGCGAAAACCGACTCAGGTAACATTCGGGAGAGACGAAAACGCAGCCTGCGTAGTGACTCGAAACGGGAAGGAGAGGGAGAAAAAAGGAAAGGGGATTGGGGAGAGAGGGAAAGGCCCCCCCCCCTCGCCCCCGACCCCCCACCACGCCCCCCCCCCCCCACCCCCCCGCCACCCCCCACTCCCCCCAGAGCACAACCACCTGACACCGCCGACGAAAAAGGATCCATGTCGCATACACGAGTACCCTCGAAAGTCCTTC